CGGAGGTGGGGAGAAGAAGGGAGGGAGCTTTACATCTACGGTAACTAGTATTAGTTGCACTACTCCGGTACTGCTACCCAGCTGCTAACTTACACGGTGCACGGTTAAGTACAAAGGGAACTACTGGAGTTAGCAAAGGCTCCGACCGAGCACGCTCTAACTCCAATGTCTGCCCTGGGCTGTCCCAGGCAAGAGGCTTCTCTTCACAAGACTGTGTAGCTGCAAAACAAATGTAAGCATTAAAATAATAAACAAACAAAAACCAGAAAGCAAAATAAAAACCAACAAAGAAGTACAAATACACACAGCCCCAACCCCGGTCAGCACACAGAGACATCCACATCCCAGCAACCTCTACCCGCTCTCCTGCTTCTGTCACACATCAGCTGGGCTGGACACTGCTCAGAGGGGACCACCCTGGCACCGGTGCAGAAGACCCCTCACAGCACAGTAGGAATCGCACTAATGCTGCTGGAGGTTGTCTGAGGGTGACCTGAAACACTGGTCGGAGTAGTGACAGAGCAGCACGAGGGCACGTACGAGATGTGAGTGAAAGAGAAAGAAAGTAGGGCATCCACATCACTGCAAATCTCAACTCGGTGGGGAGCGGGGTGGGAGAATGCTGCCCCACTTGGCAGAGAAGTGATGTGGCACTCCTCAGTGTACCAAGCAGGGCCTTGCTATGAGCAAGAGCAAGGAGTTAATAAGAAAGCAGTTCACAGCAAACAGGGCTTCAGAAGAGATCATTTCCCTTCCGTTCTGGCTGGGCAAAACACCTTTCCCATTGCACCTCACGAACCAGCAGTTTGACATCCTTAGAGCTACTTCAAAAATAAGTAACAGAGAGGCTCCGACTGCTGCATCGTATGAGATACCGGTGCTGTGTGCAGGAAACCAGGGAAGGAAGACAGGAGGAGACAGAAGAGGGCATGCCTGTTCCTTCCTTCCCAGACTGACCCGAACAGAATCAAATACTCCAGACGTTCCCAGCTCACATTAAGGATCCTTCCATTATAGCTTTAAATAGTCAGGCAGCTAGTACGGTATGTCTGTGTAGGGGAAAGGCCAGGAATCCTGCCTAGATTTTCTCCAACCTACTAGCTTTTTTCATATCCATTTTCAGAGTTTTTCAGCCACAGGCTCCTCCACAGAGGCAGCCAATTCAGGAGAGATCTCGCAGATGGTACCATAACTGGCAGACTAACCACGGCACAAGCTAACTGAGCTAGCAAGACAGACACGCAAGGTAAAGCTCACAACAGAGAAATGTCCCTCAGAGCCAACATTATCCAGGGACTTTCACTCAGAGCACCCAACAATAGATTCAGAAATGCTGAGGAGTCTTCCAGCAGCCACAGCCTCCCTTCCAAAGCATCCTTGTAAGAACTTTTTCGTTCTTTTTGTAGTTCCTGAGCACCATCCACGTCTGGGGTGCTCAGAAGTTCTCGACAAGCGAGACTGAATTCAGCCTCGCGCATCCCCTCCATAAGCAGACCTGCACCACTGACCCCATTTACCACAAGGAAAACTAAGAGATGCAGTGACTTGCTCGAGGAAACCCCGAAAGGCAGTGTCTCTGCAGAGAACTCCACGTCTCGGCCAGATGAAAGCAAGGGAATGAAATTAGCTAGGATGAGGTTCTGTTTTGGTTTTTTTTTTTTCAAAAAGGGAAGGAAAGGTTTGGAAATTTTCAGTGTGAAAAGGAGGGTATTTTGCAGGAAGGGAGATGATTTCTTTTTATTCTGGAGTACTGGAAATGAAAAATCAACGTTCTGGAAGGAAGTTGAGGAAAGGAAAAATCTTGGGGAAGGAGAAATGGGAAAGGTGGAGGGAGGGGTGGGTAAAAGATGCCGTGAAGCACTGCACCCCTGGACTTACTGGCTGAGAAACAGAGAGAAAGCTGGGACTGCATGGACTCAGTCTGTGTTTTGCTCTCACTGTGCCTCCGTCCTTCAAGCACTGAGCTGCCGTCCCCGGTGGAGAGAGGGGGAGCTAGCATGGCAGGGAATTAAAACACAAACACAAACAAAACACGCAAGTTCAGTAAATAAAAAAAGAGAAAGGAAACAGGAGAACATTAAAGAAACGACAATGCTGGGCACAAAACATGCAGGAGTATCCTCCAGGGCAAAGCCAAGTAGACAGCTCTACAACATGGACCTGCTGTGCAATTTAGAATGACACAGGGGCCGGGGGGCGCTGCCTTTAGCCCCACCACAGTGGAAACAACATATCCCTGAGGCAACTGTCACTGATGGATCAAGATGATGCCTCCTGCACCACAGCAGAACAGATCTGCATAACCTGTTGTCTATTGAAAATAAGAAGTTGGCAGAGGAATTGCACAAGCACTTCCCTTTTCCCAGAGTCATGGCTATGCAGAACGCCGAGAACTCCAACACCCCCAAACCTTTTGGTCTATTTAGTTTCGCTTGAGTGCTTGCTTAGCTTAAAACATGGAGGGGCAGGAGTTGAAAGGGTGAACACTGCTACACTTAAAACTGAAGCACTAAAATTACCAGAGCTGGCCATAGCACAAACCATTACTGTGCAAGCTCCGTCCCTCCCAACCGCCATTCAAATGCTCCCTTCTATTAAAATCATAACAAAATTTTCTAACCTCTGCCAAAAAAAACCAAACCCTGTTTTGATCTGCAGCAATGTAGCCCTATTCAATTCCTCATAGATTTAGCCCTGACCAGCTGCCCTCCTTCCCCCCCACCTTCTGTTCCAGTCCTAGCCTTCCTCTCCTCACAGCATTCCTGTTCCTGACTTACAGGACCCGTTGGCTCAACTGGCTCAAGTCTGGGACCTCTCCTGAACAAAAGCTGCCAAAGGAGACGGGGTTCTGGATAAACATCTGTTCTGGACGGATATCCAGTGGAGATTAGATAAATCAATTTCATTACCACACTACCAAAACCATCCAGTTCCCTTCCCTCAAAGCTAGGTTCTTAAACCACGGAGTACTCTTTGGCAAAAAGGTGGGAGCTAGAATACTGTCCTGTAATGCGGTCAGGTCTTAATCTGAAACAATCTGTATTGCAGAGCTCATTCACTCACTGGCATGTGTTTCTGCTCCCTGTGACTCCTCAGAAGAGGAGCCAGCAGCTTGTGGTAAGCCACAGGAAAAGCATCAGGAACCAGCCCAGCTGACAGAGGTGACGTTGCTGCTACACCACAGGGTCAGCATTGATTTTTCCCCGGATATGTAACTCAGATTGACTACAGGGAAAATGAGAATACCTCTGCCTCAAAATGCAAGCTATTAATGCATTTGCCTCAGAATGCAAACTGCATTCACCCATCCCGAACCTGCTCATTCAGGAAAATGTCTGCTCGTTCTCCTTTAGGGAGGTCAGGAGAAGGACAAGTGCTCAAACAATGTGAGCAAATATGGGACTCGGAGCTCCTTCATCTAAAGAGTTTTACAAGCACAGAATATTTATGACATGGTCACTGAAAGGTGTGAAATCTCTTCTCAGCCTCTCCCTCTACTGATATCTCAGTCAAGGACTTTCCATTCAGAGACGACAGGCTGAGAACGATCTTCATCTTAGAAACAAAAATAGACCCAAAGAGAAAAAAATAAAGAGGCAAGCGTGTGCATGTCACTAAAGAGATTCCCAGAAAGGGGTGAGAAGGGAGACTGAGCAGTAGCAGAGAGGTTTCAACTCCTTGTAACCTACAGGGAAGCACAAAAACACAACTGGACTCCAAACCTCAAGGGACTGGTAGGGATTTTCCAAGTCTAGAAATGGACTCTAGATGAACAGATTATGATATTTGCAAGAAAAGAATTCCAACTCTGAGACAAAAACAAATTAGCTCAGGGAAAACAGTGTTTGTATACGACATAGGCCAAGTCAGCTGGTTCCCCAACACATGGTCCCACTGTGACAGGAATGACAGCGTCATGGCAAATTTATGAACTCGGTCAGACACAGAAATCTGGGAAGCTAGTTCAAGGCAATGATCGAATCCCCAGGATCCCCTGCCTGCACTTAACTGTATTAGAAATTGCAGGCAAAACACCTACCTTTCAGATCCTCATCTTCGGTCGTGGTGTTACAGCTCTCTGTGGAACCCTGCACAGCAGAACAGAGCATTACCAGGCATCAGCAGTCGGGAGCATGAGTAAATAGTTTGATTTGTTTGTGAAGGAAGATGGGGAAAAGCACAAAAACATTGGCAGGGATGGCAGGGAGAGGATGATACAAGGAAGATTTGGATGGAAGCAGGCCAAATATTAAGCAAAACTTAACAGCATTGCTGCTCAGCTTTTGCATGTTTAAGCCGTTCAAGCCATCCACCCAGAACTTTTACAAGGACAGAAGTTACCAAACTCTCTCAAGTGAGATCAAATGGGAGTTGCTTCTGTTTGGAAGAAGAATAGCTACAAGAAGCTAAAGAAGGGCTCCTAGGCTTTCTCAGAGGAACAGGTCTCCACTTCCAGAAGGAAAAAAAAAAGTGCATAAGTGCCTGTATCTTCTCTTCCACCCCACATACGAAAGAGAGTGGTGGTTACACACCGCAGTAGGAAAGAGATGATAATATTTGAACGGTTGTCCCTACTCAGCCTCTTCCAGAGATCCACAGCCATACAACACAACCCTCCCAGCCTACTGCCAGCAGTATTCAGGAGCATGCTACAAACCAGACGTCGCAAAGGTAGAAACTGGAGAAAGACACACGAAGACGAGAACAAGAGAGAAGCGGAGGTTTCTCTGGCAACACTCCCATCCCTTACCTTTATGCCATCTGTAGCATTATGGACAACAGTTGTTTGAGGCTCCTAGGAAAGGACGGAAGAATCATTAAACTCCAGTTCCAAAGCATTCTCTCATTTCTTTTCACTCCCCAGCAAGTGGAGAAAAGGTGACTGACATAAAAAAAGTCAAACCACAAACTCCAAACAGCACACGTGTGCTTGCGTGCGCACATACTTCCTGCACGGAAGGTTTCCTGAAGAGAGAGGCTGCACTAAAAGCTACAGTCACAAGGAGACAAAGCCCCCAGCTTCCCTGCAATTGCCCCTAATTCCCAATTTGCCTCCAGTGAACCAGGCTGGCACAAACGCCAGACGGCAACCGAGCAGCCAGTCTGCACCCTCTGCAGGCGTTCATGAAGTAATGACCCCTCAGCAGCATCCTCGCTGGAAAATGCTTCAGAAGAGAGAGAGGGGGAGGAAAGGATAATACTGGGCTGGGGCCTTTGTCTCCCAGTTTTTTGGAAAGTTTGCCGGGTATTTTACCCTAAAAAAAGGGACATTCATAATTTCCGTAATAAAAAGGGGATAAGCCAGACAACCTCAATGCCTCTCAGAGAGGAGTTGCTAAGGGAACTGGGCTGTGAAAAAAGGCACATTTTTCTAACAGTCTCTAAAATGAGATCCAATTTCAATAACAACAACAATAATTAATAATTTAGAAAGGCTCCCTCAGCATCAATACCATAATTGAACAAAGCCAGTGAAGGGAAAGCAGAAAATTATGAAGTGTCCCAAGAACCCTTTGCTCTACATCAAAAACATCAAATCCCACCCTCCCACCCCCCAAAAAAATGCCAAATCCAACTCTCCAGAGACACACAACAAAGAGCAACTACCAGGCCTATGGGTGCTAACTAACTCCTGCACTCATCCCGTCACTACCGGGACAAGACTTCAGGATCCTGCACCATCTCCTCCCACTGCTGTCACTCTTGCAGGGTGGCTCAGCGAGGGCACCAGGGACTGTGACGGTGCAGCGATATACACTCACCCATCCGCCTCTGTCACCCATTGCACTGCTGCCTGATCTTCCAAGCATACTGAAGCTGTGCCGCTAAACGTACTGGGCACAGGGCACCCACCCTATGAAGCCCGCTGCACGCAGCCCAAACAGAAAATGCTAGTGCAGCAAGTCAGCAAGCTGCAGAGGATCAACCACACAACTGAGCAGGCCAAATGGGCCATCAAAGGATTCCCTTAAAAACCCTTTGCCTGCCCTTTCTTCTGTGGTGTCCTGAAGTCCATCCTCCATTGCCTGGGTGTTGGAGAGTGGATGGAGCTTGCCACTCTCTTCTTCCAAACCAGCCTCCCCAAAGCCAGCAGGAACAGTTGAACGGGACACACAGAACTATACAGGGATGGCACAAGGGGAAGTCCAGGGAAGCTGCGATCCCCACATCCAACCACAGCTCTGCTCAGCACCCCCACCCCAAAGCCTGTGAGGCTGTGATCAGGCCCCACAGCAGCACAGGGACACAGACAGAACGAAGCCAAAACACAAGCTGAAACAGAGCAGCACAAGCAGCACTCGGGATGGGGGGGAAGGAGAGAAGGGGAGAGGACAGAATCAAAATTAAACCAAACAGGAAAAAAAATAGCGGTTGGGGAAGATACCATGGACGTCTGCACTGGGGGTGTTTCTTTTGCAGTGCTTACTATACTGGTTTTGTTGTTGCTCTGTGGCTGAGACAGAAAAACATGGTTTTAGTTCCCCTGCTGGGTAGCAGAGGCAGCAAGAAAATGACAGTATTGCTTCAATCCCAACCATCTCCTCAGACCCTCCCCTCCCCACAGGCTCCATCACCAAGAAAAGGGAGGAAGAAGGAGCGCTGCCCGGGTCGCTGGACATCATCCTTCCCTCAGAGGCAACAGATGTTGTAAGGGATGTACCAAAACCCAAATGCTCATGGACTGCTAGAGCTATAAGGATGGAAAACAGAAGGGAAAAAGGCAGCAGCCCAAAGGGATGGGGAGAATCCTGCAATGAGCACCAACAAAACTATTTGGTGAAGAAGAACGAGACGTGGCAGCAGTCCCAAAAGAAAGACTACAGAAGTGAGACACACACAATAGTCATGGTGCAGTCTCAAACAGGGGACAAATGGGAGTCGTGTCTGAGGAGTCCCAAAGTGTGCAGGAACAGTCCTAGATATGGGATGATGCTGAGGGTCCCACGGAATCTACTGATGCAAGAAGTGCGGTCAGCCCTAGAAAACGTAGAGAAAAGGTGAGGTATGGTGTGTTGCCTCACTGCTGTGACCTGAACAGAGAGACTTCAGGACCAAAATACAGAAAGGGATGGGGGTGGGATGCAAGGAAAAGGCCACGTAGTTCCCCAAGGAGCAAGTCCTCTGGATGGTGCCCAGCAGTTTTTCATCTTTCCCCTCTTCAGTCTCTCTTGTAGCTGTGGTAGAAGAATCAAATCTCCCTTTCCTGCACTCACATAGCACAACTGTGAGGCAGGCACCAGCTTGCGGCAAAGAAACGTCCCATTGAGTCATGTATGTCAGTTACGTCAGGAATGAGCAAAGCCTATGTTTGTAGGAAGACAAACCTGTGTCCACTAGCATATAGTTCCTAGCCCGCAAATCCAGTCACTTGTTGGAGAATTAGGCCCCCAGTTACACTGCAGCGTAACCCCCACACCAGGTATACAGCTCTCTTGCTGCCAGACACCAGCAACAATGTCAAAATCAGCACTGCAGGAGCCTCGCGCAAACTCCTCGGTTTACAGATCAGGGGTACGGGATGGGAGCTCACAGCAGAGTGACCTCATTGCAGCTGCTTTCCATCCCACTGTTCTTGGGGAGTGCAAACTCATACTGCATTTATCAGGCCCTCATCACCCAGTAACCACCACAAAGAATGCAGAAGTCAAATGCTGAGCTGGAAAACATCTGCCAAAGGTTTAATTATGTCAACCAGAGACAGATCCTGTGAGGTTGAGACTTCACACACACCTACTAATACTTCAGTTTTTCTTCACAAGCAACGTGCCTTAGCTTAGCTATCTCTTTTGGAGAGGGAGAGAGGAGAAACAGAAGAGGAAGATGGGGCAGGTGGAGAGGGAAGGAAGTAGAAGAGAGAGGCAGGAATGAATTCTTTAGAAGTCCATAGGAAAAAAAAAGAGCATACGACACACTCATCCCCAAAGCTAAGAAAGGAGAAATGCTTCACAAGTTACTGTTTACTGACTCTTCCTATACATCCCCTCATTGTTCTAAGACTTTGGCCTTCCAAGAGCTTTGCTTCCTGCATGCATTTCCAGCCTCATGGCAGAAGAGATGACAGGCCGCTGCGGGTGTGAGAGGAGCAGATCAACCTGAAAAAATGAATCCCAAGCTATTTCGTGGCATAAACACAACCAAACTTCTGGCAATGCCTGGGTCCACCCCTCTACACACGGAACTGAGGTTCCTGTACTTCAGAAACAGTGATCCTAATGCAGAGATCTATCTTCCAAACCTCTTCCAGTGAAAAGAGCACAGCCCATTTTTCTTAGTCCGCTGGGATAAGAAGATAAAGTTAGCGTGAAAGAAGCTATACAAAAAGACTTCTGACTTTTTGGAGGGTTTTATAACTGAGGCCCAATGGGGGGAAAAAAAAAAAAAAACCCCAAACATTAAGAAAGGAGAAATGCTTCACAAGTTACTGTTTACTGACTCTTCCTATACATCCCCTCATTGTTCTAAGACTTTGGCCTTCCAAGAGCTTTGCTTCCTGCATGCATTTCCAGCCTCATGGCAGAAGAGATGACAGGCCGCTGCGGGTGTGAGAGGAGCAGATCAACCTGAAAAAATGAATCCCAAGCTATTTCGTGGCATAAACACAACCAAACTTCTGGCAATGCCTGGGTCCACCCCTCTACACACGGAACTGAGGTTCCTGTACTTCAGAAACAGTGATCCTAATGCAGAGATCTATCTTCCAAACCTCTTCCAGTGAAAAGAGCACAGCCCATTTTTCTTAGTCCGCTGGGATAAGAAGATAAAGTTAGCGTGAAAGAAGCTATACAAAAAGACTTCTGACTTTTTGGAGGGTTTTATAACTGAGGCCCAATGGGGGGAAAAAAAAAAAAACAAACCCCAAACATCCAGGAAGCCACTGTTTTGAAAAAAAGTTGACAGCAGCTTGTTAGGTGTGGGACGTCACCTTACAAAGTGCAAACCCACGCACACCCAAAGCACACAGCCTACCCTCCAGGCTGCACTGAACACCCAGTTCATCCATCATACTCTTCCCCATCCAGTAGGCTGAAGAAGACCGAGTACCATGTTTGCTAGTCCAGAATCACGTCGCATTTTACTCCAGGACAGAGTCCCAAGGAAATAAGAGGCAGAAGACTTAGCCTAAGCAGTTTTCACAGCTCTTTCTCAGATGGAGGTATCTGACATACTGAGCTTCCCACACACACTCGTGTCTTGTGGCCACCTAACCAACTGCCTTGCCCTGGAAAAGACTGGCCTGCCCTTCCCAGAGCCCCAGGTACCACAGCCAACTCCTACCCCTCCTTCCTCTCCTACTGCCGGCCAACATCACAGTCATTGGGCAGGCTACGACCCTTGGTAATTCACAGCGGTACAGCTCAAGTAAAAAGAGGCCAATTCACCTAAAAAGGTGCCCTTCTTAAGATCTATGTAACACGATTAGTTTTGGTACAGCAGTTGGCAGCGCTTCCTGAGCTAGACAGGAGACACACAGACAGGCACAAACAACACAGAGGGTGCAAGAGAAAGAAAACAGACCAGTGATCATATCGCTAGGGACACACATTTCTAGACAACTAAAAGAAAATAAGTACCAACACATGGGCCGTCTCTGGTTATTTAGCCACCTTCACTGCTTCCATGTTTTCTGAGGCTGACACTTACATGGTTTACATATCCCAGCTGCTTTAAAACAACATGCAGAGGGAATTTAAGTATTGATGGCAGTGGGCGGAAAAGAAGGGCAAGAAAGGCAAAATGAACTCCTGCCCTGGAGTTTCACAAAGGCAGGGCTGGTGAAAAGTCAGGCCCTCACATCAGATTTTCCAGGCGGTACTTTGGAATTACTTTTTTGTGTTTACATAGTTTTAAGCTGTCATTGAAGGAGGAAGAGGAGAAATATCTTCCAGATAGTAACGTAGAAACAAATTATTCTGCCTTCTCAGTACTGTAACATTCCTGTTCCTACCTGCAATAGGGGAGAAATATTTTCTGTTCTTTTTCTGTGTAAAGGAGATAATGCAATAACTAATTTTTGTACTTTACTGTTCATATCTCAGTGTCAGAGACAAAGGCATCATCTAATGGTCTGTGTATGACTCCTTACAATATGGCACTGGCCAATTTTCTCTTTGCTCCCTTGAGAGTGGATTTGACTACTTTTCTGACAAATTCTATGGATGTCAAACATCTGGATGGATGAAAAAAGGAAATGAACAGGACAGGGGAGGCAGTTACTGGGTATTTGGTCATGCTGGGATACATAAACGAGATCAGGACAAAAGGAAGTTTTGGATTATAAAGGCTCTGACAAACCTTTTCAGTAAGAATGCTAAAAAAAGAAGTGACCGGCAGCTCTGAGCTGCCCGGCGGTGCTGTGCCCACGCATTTCATCTGAACAGTGGAGCCCCATCAGTCTGCCACATTTGGAGCAACTCCCAGTTTGTTTTATACTGCAGGGCTCCCACCAGGGATGACAGCACCAACACCAGGCAAAGCACCTGCTCCTCTTTTTGGCACCTCTGCAACAGAATGACAAAGCCCCATGTCCCGGCAAGGCACGCACCTGCTCTGCTGAGCCCAGGAGAACCACTGCCTTTTTTCATTTCACACTCAGAGCAGGCAAGGTCAAACTGCATTGCCAGCAGTTGATTTTCTGCACAAAATGGGAACTGTATGACTGGCCGGGGGCCAGACGATCACAGGGCCCTTTTAGTGAGGACATGGACCTTTCAGTGCACAACGATCCCCCCCGCCACCGCCCCCCTGCACAGACATGCTATGTAGGGTGATGAGCACAAGCCGAGCGTGCATGGCATGAGAATGGCGGACGCACGAATCGCAGGCAGCTTACGGGAGGTGCTCACCATCAAATGCACACTGGAGCTCGACTTCCTTTTCTGGACACACCATTGAGAGAGGGAAAGAGAAGGGAAGAGAGGAGATGAGAAGAAAAGCACAGAAACTATTCACACATTAGTGTGCCAGCAAGGGTCCCCCTGCCAATAACGCTCCCCTAGGGGCGGGTATAAGCAGCAGCAGAAATGCACAGACACGCGAGAAGGCGCAGAGAGAAGTCACCGTTAAAGAACATGACTGCACACCAGGGGAAAGGGCAGGGTTGAAGACTCCCATCCACTCAAACATCGAGGTCAGAACATAGGTGCCCCACACACTGATACAAGGAGAGGGGAAGAGGGAGGAATATATATATACACAAGATGTGGGATGCAAGGGGATGCCTCTATGTGCTCTCCCACCTCAGAAAACTGTGCAGCTTCCCCAGCCACACTGAAGAGGTAGGCAGAAAACCCCCGTGCGTTCACATTGGAGAAAGCAGAGGTGTGTTTGCAACTAGAATCAGAGGGTATAGGACGGAGGGTGCAACGGGAGGGGCATCCCCAAGGACTAAAGAAAGAAGGAACTTCTGTGCATAGCATGGGGAGGAGAAAAGCTCCCTCACACAGAAACTGGGGCTTATTCGAGAGGCAAGGTGCACCCATGCTCAGACACAGAGGAAAGGCAAGGAAGGCAAAGAGGCACTCAGCAGCCAGAACTCCTTGCGCTCCCAGATACTGGGAGAAGAACAAACAGGGAGCAATGCTCAAACACTACCCAACCTTCATGGACCCTACTCTTGTTCAAAGGCATCTTCAGTCATCTTCAAAGGCACCTTCACACCAAACTGCACTCTCCAGTAAACCAGGCTCAGCATGCATTTCTCTGCTCTTTCACTACACTCTTAGTGTCATCCTGTCCAAGCTGAACCTGGCAGGTCTTTCAGCATTACAATGCTACCCCTTTCCCCTGCTGTCTCCGCATACATTTTCCATCTGCCCTTCTCCTTTGGTACTATCTAGGCTATTTCTCTGCTGCTTACTACTCATGGGGAGGTACTACAGAGTTTAGCTCATCGAGTACTGTCGGACAGCACGTCCCAGCCAAAAACAACGATAGCGTGGGCTCAGCTATGTAGCTCTGGACTCCTGCACACTACCACGGCCCACCTCTGGAACAGCCCTTCAACTCAGTACAGGCCATCAAGTTGTACCTCCCCATTTCATACACTTACTGAGCCTTCACAGCTTTCACCTTGAATACTGCCTTCGTCCCTGCTTTCATCCTCACATCAGAGCTCAAGCACACATACAGACTAGCATGTCTTTGAGAGCAGAAGTGCCCATGTTCACCTCATACCCAGAGCCGCATTCCTGATCACACCATACAGCCCAGAATCACGCAGCCACTGCACGAACAGACTCAAACTAGCAAAGCTTCTGCCTCATCTGATCTTTAATTCCAGTACGGACAGACTCCGAACACTGATCTGTTCAGTATTTGGCTCACCGATCTTCCACTTCATGGAGGCACAACACGGGGCTTGCCATTACCTGGTTTACAAACTTGTGATTCCTCTCATCTTCTTTTAGGACAATTTAGCTTCTCCACAGGCTTTTCCTCAAGCTAGAGCTAAAATAGGATGTACTACCAGTGCATGAATATAATGTTTAGACCACCAACAACCCAGAGGAATCCTTGTACCCAGTCACAACAGGGAATTTTTAACTGGGAGAAGTGGAAATTCACACCAACTGAGAAACTGTTCCAAAATTCAGGTTTTATTTTTAATGTATCCTATAAGTTGCAGCAGACAAACAGAGGCTATATGGATACTGCAGGGAAACTTCTCTCTAAGGAAGACAGTCTCATCTGAAGTTTATATAGATTTCCAGTGAGTTACAGAAACAAGAAAAGGAGCAGGAAACGTTAAGAGACAACCAAAAGGTTCAGTATGAAAGGAAAGTCAACCAAGCCATACAGAAAACAATCACCCTCCTATATTAGAGGCACAAGTAACACTGACACAGGAGGAAACAGAACCCTCTGCAGATCAGAATTTAATTAGAGTACAATCTACATTTAAAACAGTGTTGGTCTATTAACATGGCATGATGTATTGTAGAAAACCCAGAAAGCACATTATTACTGGCTACTATAGTAACAGAGGGGAGAAAAGCTAGCTAGGCAGTATGAAAAGGGTGGGGAGTGAGGTCTCTGTTAAGACCAGAGCATGAAAGTACTATTACAACTCAAGACAGGTTGGATAATGCCAACACGAGGCACGAGCAGTAAGTGCTAAAGCATCAAATCTTATTAAATCAAAACATACACAAGGAAATTACTAAAACCAGATTAATCTCCCAATTCCCTCTGTAACAGCTGCATCAGAGCCATCTACATCACCTTCCCAAGGTGACTAGCTGAGTGAGCAAAACTTTTTGTTCTACTTGTAATGTGACTGCAACTTAGCAAAGTGAGTAAGAGAAGTTTAGTTAGAGAGAGAGTTCTCTTTCCCTTCCATAACACAGCCACATCTCGAAGTATTTCTAGGCAGTGCAGAGACATCCCAGGGAATGCAAAAAATTGTTAAAGGCAGACAGCCTGTGGTAAAGTACCTCACTGATCACTTTAAGGACTTCCCTACATCCGAGTGACAAAAATTCTCCCAAAGCAGTATGGACAACATTCTCCTCTCCAACCCAGGGATGAACGTTTGTTAAAGTTCTATTTCTGTATTTGTGTGAAATTCAGGTGTTCAACTCAAAAGAGGAGCAGATTCTCTACAACGAAACTTAAGGAAGACTCTTGCTTTAGGTAACAATAAATAGAAGTCAGCAGATGACAGAAGGCAACCTGAAGAATCACTGTCCCTTCAGCATAGCAGCAGTACTAGAAACAGCAAGCGTAAATCATTCCGAGCGCCTATAGAAAATACAACGCAAACTAGAAGATGCTATAGGGAGTAGAGTGATTCCAGGCAAGGTCCCATTCACAGTTCTGGGCACTTAATATGGATATCTTTTTACAACAGCTTTTTGCATTTCTGTCTTCTACATGCAGTTCTCCCCCAGTTTGATACTGACAGTATCAGTATGTTAAAATATCACGCTTGCTGCAACTCATATTCCTACAAAGAGTATAGTCATTTCAGGACTTCAAGTAGGAAAAAAAAAAAATGTTGAACTCAAAGCAGATCAGTGAGAGGCAGCCTGAACTAGATTTGCGGACCTATTTCTACTTCTGCTTTAGTTCTTTTGTGTGATGCTGAGCAAATCATTTCATCTTTGTCAATCCATCTTCTCTCCTGCCCTTTGTCAGCTTGTCTATTTAAATCGTAAGCTAAGAGGCAGGGATTTTCTGCTTAGGCATCGCTGCAGCGCTAAGCACACTGGACCCTTGATCTCAGTTGGAGTTTCCAGGCATTACAACAATGCAGTGAAAAAAGTGAATGCATCAAAGGTGGGTAGAATGTGTTACTGGATGTCAGCACTTGAACAGATCTGAAGTGCTCCCCAAGCGTCTTGCACAAAACAGTTCAGCATAAAGCCGTGCTGTTCAGGTGAACTTGGGTTCTCCTCGTTTAGCTTCACCATAACCATCTTTAAGCAGTACGGCTTTAAGATCATAAGAAGTCCGGCTACAGAAATAGGAGCATTAACTCCTGTTGGTCACTGCATGGACGTTACTTGACCCTTGCAGATTTTCTAAAGGACTCCCTGTTGGTTCACCTTGCTACTGTGCCTTCCCTAAGGCACGCTGTCACTAACTGAAGCAGCCGTGCCGGCCTACAGAGCATCCTGCCTTCCCCACATACTCTCTACTGGGCAAAGGGCAGGGAAAGCTGGTACCCACCAGGCATAAAACGTACACTTACCGCAGCATTCCTTACAAACAGCAGAACAAATGGTACCTGGTGCCTCTTTGCAGTTATGTAAGATGAAGGGCAGGTTTTACATCATCAACCTTGTCACACCAAAAATCTGGATTTTTGGTCTTTCAGCTATGCTATTCAGCTTTTACTGGGAAAGAAAACAGGGTGCACATGCAGCAGAGAGACAAGGTAGAAAAGGAACAAATTTTGCAGAGCATTGCAAGTGAATGCCTTTAAAATCTTCCGCATCCCATAGCATTCTCCACAAGTTACTATTTACATAGAAGGTTACACTGGGCCTGAAAAACATTACCATTTTGTATCCCCTAATCACAAACCAAAGCCCTCAGAAAAAAAGAAAGAAAAGAAGAAGAAACTGACAGAGAGCTTAGAGAAGAACTAATTTTAAAATACTTACAATTACATACTTAACTAAAAATAACACTGTGCATCAATAAATTCTGATTAAAAAGACGGATCTGACAGGCCCTGCTAGAGCTGGAAACACATGCATCCTCTCACACCAGTAGGAAGGGAAATTCCCCTTTGGGGAAAAAAAGGGAACACGACTGTTTGAAGTGCTGCCCAGAGACAAAAAAAAAAATAAATCAACAGTAGGACTGTAACACTAACTACAGGGAGCCCAGACCCTGACAAGGTCAGAGAAAAGACATTCAGCATAAAGTGTCCTTAATCTTCACCCAGGTGTCTGCCCCAGCCCATTCCTTAACCCCTCCCTCACCTTGCAGTGGATGGCAAGTCCAGATTATGTGCAGAAAGGGGAACAAGAAAGCAAGTAGATTTGAAATGAAACTATCTAAAGTAAATTTTAAAACGGCAGCTGCACAATGTTGCTCATACATTTAGAATCTTAAAAAAAATACCTGGGACCTACAGTGGTGGCCACAAGATACGTGGTATGTTACATGGCTCTGCAATTCGTCAGCCAGTATCTTCTAGCCTCACTTTCTGGATTTGAAAGCAGAAAAGCACGTTCCTTGGGGATAAAACCTGGGCCTTCCTTGTTGCTACTTCATCAGCTTGGATCCAGATTCTGCCTGAAGAAAGTGAGTGCAGCACTACCAAAGGTTTGGTGAGCAGGGATGATTTAAGATTCAAGGCAGTTTAAATCATTCATTATTTAAGATAATGGAAAAGTTCTCAAGTGCCAAGCTGATGAAATATCTACCAATTAGCAGAATTAGTACTTGAAATAGAAGCAGCAACACAAAATGAAAACCAGAAATGCCTCAAATAGATTTCGGAAAGGAATTTGCTAGAGGAGAGGGTCATACACATGGAAATTTATCAAAATAACCCCAGTGTGGACACACCTCTATTGGAATCAAAAATGTTTCCTTCCAGTCCTCCCCTCCTGATTTAAGCTTCCCTCCCTTCCAAAATGGTCTGATGCAAGTAAAATGCATGCATCCCCATTGCTTTAGTGTGTTAGGCTTGCTTCAGCAAAGGATTAAAGCCAATTCCTACAGAAACAAAAATTGTGTTTTTTTCTTACATATCAGCTCAACACGACCCACACTAGATGTTCATATCACCACATATAACTAATATATCGTTCCTCTCTCATTTATGCTAAATCTGCAACAACATGGTGCACCTTGCATCAGATTTCACCAACACACATTTTCATGGAGTTCTTGGGAATAAAACATGAGAAAGACATATAGGCCTCTCTCAAACTTGCCTAATACTATGTAATAGAAATTCCTACTGTATTTGTCAAATAATGCAGGATTCTCGCATAGATATCTCTGAATACCAGCCAAAAGGATGGGAAAGTTACCTTGAACAGAAAATAAATTAAGACAAACTGGTGATGTTTTTTTCTCAATGGGCTTAAAGTAATTTATTTTTACACTAGCGTAATCATCAGTTTGTGGAAGAAATACTCTTTCCATTCTCATACTGTGTGGATATCTGTGGCAACATTCTCACGGAGCACAGTCACCCCGGACCAGATAAAGCCAGTGAAGAAACTGAAACGTATTCCCTCTCAAATCTCCGTAAGGAATTAATTTCCAAGAAGGTTTTAAGAAACAAACAAACAAAACCAACCACCAAACAAACCAGGAGTTTCCGTATCTGGGAACATGAGAAACAGCCTAACCACATGGCATGTGGTCAGCAGCAGACTACAGTTAAAAATACAGCATGCAGTGTTTGTTCTAAACCTACATCTGATGTAGAATTATTTATATAGGAAGTGGGAGTGAAAAGGATATCACAAAGCTGAAAATCTGTTTGGTGTTCCAAGGCATGGTGGCTGTGCTCTGCACTACTGCAGCGGGCAGAAAATCATAGTTTGCTACAAGTAATGCAAGACCAGATGCTCTTAACTCAACCAGTCACTGGCACAAGTTGTTTGTCAGAACTATCTAGGATGAGAAAATCAGTGGGGCTAAAATCACAAGTCTCCTGCATAAGGAACAACGCGTGAAAAGCAGGCTGGTCACAACAGTGAGGCCACCAACCAGACAGTGACCAGCACAGAGACTGCTGCACAGCAGCCAAGTGTGCCAGTACTGCTCCAATAAGCAAATGGAAGTGGTAAAAGGCTACCCTTCCAGGGGCTGACTAATGGGAAGCAGCACTGTACATGTAGACAGTAGGGGCAAGGAAGGAGATGAGCATGTAGCCACAGAAATCCTACAACAGAAGTGTTAAGGATGTACTACAAACACACACAGGCCACTGCCTGCTCTCTGTCTTGTCCAAACTTAGCATTGGGGGGAAGCGACCTGTACTTTTAAAAGTCTGCATTATTGAGCAAGAGGGTTACTCAAAACACCAGCTTTAAGAAGAAATATATAATTTCTTTCTGAGTTCTAAAGCTTAAATGAGGACTAGAAGTGTTAAGGATGTACTACAAACACACACAGGCCACTGCCTGCTCTCTGTCTTGTCCAAACTTAGCATTGGGGGGAAGCGACCTGTACTTTTAAAAGTCTGCATTATTGAGCAATAGGGTTACTCAAAACACCAGCTTTAAGAAGAAATATATAATTTCTGAGTTCTAAAGCTTATAGAAATGAGGACTCAAAAGCCACACCTGAAGACAGATACTGTTTGGGGAAAATGGGAAGCTTAAATAACTCTTCTGAGGGCCCCCAGCCCAGGTTGAAAGTGCGCGATGCCCCTCGTGGACACCACTCAGGTTCATACTGCAGAGCAAGACTGCTCTAACACTTAGGAGCAAGGAAGCTGCATGCAGACCCTTGACTGCAGGTCTCCAGTGTCATGCAGAAGTAGAGAAGAGGTTGCCAGAGGGCAACCCCATTCACCATGTATTGAGAATGCTATGCTCTCTAATCTACCTTCCACTTTATCACAAGTATTCAATTATATATATCAGGAACAACATATATTGTGAAGAGTTGAAGAATACTCCAAATCAGCTAGAAAAGCAAATGCAGCTTTAGTCTTCTCTCAGAGTCGAGTGTTCTCAATGAAGCAAACACCACAAGCTTTCTATGGAGCTGGAAGTCTCTAACACACAGGTCTCCTTTTAACTACATGACCAGGAAGCTGTGCCTCAAAACCTGTGTGCACATCATCTGTCCATTTCTGGAAGATTTTGACCCAAGTTGTAGCACTCCCTGCGAGCCTGCTGGAAATCAAGAATCCTGATAAGAAAGCCATTTTTTTCCTAGGTTGGTGACAAAAACTATGTAGACTTGTTGTTATCTGCTGCTTTTCCAGTTGCTTCTCCCCTGCCACATTGGGATTTTGAAGCATGTGTCTGCTGGTTCTCAGTTCACAACATTTGGGATCATCCATTCTTATTCCACTGGGATTTTACTGTAATGTTTTCCATATCAACAGATGCGACAACTCAAACACACTTGCTGTATTAGTGTGCATGTGTTGAATGCATGTCTGTACAAGAGGCAGGCATGTGCAAAGGTACAAAAGCTCACTCTTGCAGGCACATTTCAAAGATAAGTATCCTAGGGCAAGAACAGCAGTTCCATATAGCATTTTAGTCAAAAAACCCCGAAGACTTGGGTGTCATTAGGGCAGAACACAGCAGAGCTGTAAGAATGCAGGTTTTACTAGAGCAGTCCCCAAAATAAACACAACTCCTCTGAAAACACCTCTTTTTTCAGCAGCCTGCTTGTATTGTGAGCCCTCTGGAAACAGAGCCTCATTAATACGGAAAAGGGCAAAGAGAGCAGGAGAGAACAAGCGTGCTGGTCCTGCAGTGTGCATGTCAACCCCCCAGCGTGGGGAGAATGAAGACTATCCACAGTGCAAAACCAGGAGATGAACTATTCCACCTAACAGCTGCGGAGAAAGGTTTGGACTTCAAATGGAAATGCAAGCAAATAAACCAAACCCTACCTTCCCACGTGGAGGACAGTTATCCTTTGGAACAGGTAGGGGAAGACAGTGCTCTAGCCCATAACTGTCTCTACTCCAGTACCAGATAGTAAAGGGCTACTGCCTTCAACAACTTACAGCCTTGGGAATGGCCTCTTTGACCTCCAGAACTGAAGGATGACCATGCATGCAAAGAGTGAAATTGAAGTGGGGAAAAAAATAATTCCCCCCAGAAGGGAACAGGAGAGTGCCTAGCCCTCAGGGATGTGGACCGAACTCTAACACAAGACTCAGTTTCCATTCTGTCCAAACATGAACATCTGGAGGCTCCTCCTTCCCCACCCCTCTTCCCAGCTCAACCTTCAGCATCTGTCCAAGGGGGAAGACAAAGAGATTTCCATGGGGTCTGCTGGGTATCATCAGTCACTGACAATTGTTCTGTGCAGTTTTGATACCCAGAAGCATTCTGCACTGAACAGAACAGATTAGTCAGAGGTATGTGTCACACTTGAGCAAGTCCTTGGACTTTCTCATCCACAGCATTGACCAGTTCTCCATACTTCAGAGAAAGGGGAAAAAAGAAATCTTGCTGGTACAATAGCGCACTTAGCTAGTTGTGCGATGTATAAGGTGCACGTAAGGAACATTGAGATCCCACCCAGGGCATCATAACAATACACTGAACGTAACAATCCCAGCCACAAGACAGGGCTGTGGTTTTACCCTGGAAGGGGATGGGCACCAGAGAAAGCGGCTGCCTTCTGTTCAGGTGGTGGGAGAGACAGTGAAATGGGAAAGCAAGAACTTACCTTCACTCCATCTGACTTCTTGTTCAGCAGGCTTTTGGCAGCTGTGGAGAGAAGCAGGAGAAGTAGGTCAGATTTTGGTTTTGAGACTATTCTCTCTCTCTCCCCCCACTTCCCTCAAAACTGCATGAGACTTCAGAAGGAAAACCATCCTGCTAATTCCTCTCTGACAGCAAGAGACCTGGAAAACAAGGCCGAGTCACTCATCAAATCTATCCTGAGAGCAGAGGGTCACCCATCCTATCTATTTTTCACCTAATTAGGCAAAAATGCTCCCACTTTCACCATCTCAGGAAGACCAAGTCTGAAATGAGACTTTAGAGCTCCCCTATTTCAATTCTCCACTCACACAGTGACCCCATCCAGAAATGCCAGCAGTTAAAGAGGGAAAAGCTAAAGAAATCCGCCAGATCTTTACAGTAGGATAAAGGCTTTACCCTCAAGTGCAGCCATTCACATAATAGACTTTGCTTATAAAGGGGGCACTGATAACACAGAGGCCTCCTAATTACTGCTATTCAGTTACTCTGGGGAAACATCTGGATAGCTGAAGGGAAGAGACTGGAGAAGTGCAAAAGGCAGTGTCTGATAACTGTTAAAAAAAAAAAAAGAGAATGAGAGAAGAGACAGGTACTAGGCTGAATTTCTTCACTGGAAGATAAAGATGCTCTGCTGTGCTCAACTTGAACAACTGGCACTAGCAATGAAAGCGAGAGCATGATAAGCACAGACAGGGAGCCCGCAACAAATGCCTGGCAGAAGGCACACTTGGGACTGATGAAGGAGCTGCTCCATCTATTACAGGGAAGTGGTATGTTGACAACAACTGTCAACAGTAAGACCCCATCTACAACCTCAACAGATATAAAACATAGCTTGCCTACTCATGAAGAACGTATTCAGTTGCTTCAACTTCTGTAAACAGCACGCTAGAGACCTACTGGACCAACACACTGATACGCCTCTCCTAAGCAGCTGCTGAGAAGCATACGGGTCTGGGTACTTGACCTGGATTTTAGGTCCAGCAAAGACAAGGCCTAAAGAAAAGGCAAGTCCTAAGACAATGCTCACATGACTGTTGAAATACTTCACTCCCAAAGACACGCTGACCAACTCATGCAGAGTGCTCTCTCTAGAAGCACCAACATTAGGCAAAAACGTTTCTGCAATATCCAAGCAACTGTTCAAGTTTTCTGTCAAAAGCATTTTCCACCCTGTCTTCCCTAGCACATGACCCTACAGATATGGATTAACTAGACAATATCAGCTGAGCTGGTGCAAATGACTACAGTGTCTCCTCACAACGAAGAGGCAGCACCCTATGTAAGTTTATTACAATTTCTGAATTAGGCTTCCTAATTCTACTCCCTAATGCAAATATAAAGCTAGATCAGAAATTTGTCTTCATTTCTGCTCTCAGAAACCACCCAAGAACACCGGAAGAGCCTCGTGCAGAGGTTTTCTGAATGTGATGTGTCAAAACACAATGCTCCAATGTGCACACATAAAGGTGGGCAGACAAAAAGTCCCGAGCAACTCATCTGCCCTGCAACAGTTTCTTTGCTGAGTGTACACATACTAAAGCACTGCAAGACTGAACCTAACAGATAAGTTCTTGCCACCTTCAAGGCATGATGAAGGAGACCAACTTGATTCCACATGCAAGTGAGAAGGAGAACAAAGGTGACCATGGGGTCAAAAAGGGGTCCAGCGTTTATACCACACATACGTCAAGGCATCTCACAACAACTGTTGAAAACAAGAAACTGTTATGGCCTTACAACACCTCAGAAGGAGTAAAGGATTCTGCAACTTAACAAATATCAAAAACGGGACACACCTGAAGTGAAAAAAAAAAAAAATCAGAGAAGGGAAACAGCACCACCATATGTCCTGGGAACGACCCAGACACAAACTGGGACGCAACGTTTTTCACACTTTCTGCGGTTTCCCCAGAAGCTCACATTTGTCTTTGTGGACTAAAGACAGCTAAAATCACGTTCTACGGCATTAAAACAAATTCAGTTGAGAGCCCTTCCGTGTGGCCCAGCACCGTGTAATACTGACCCAGTGCTCCCCAGCGCAGCCTGCCTGTCTAGCCCCCTCCCCTGCTCGTACTGCCGCACAGCACACCCTGTTCTCCCACAGGCCTGTCGGCACCCCAGCGCTGCAGAAGGAAACTCGGTCTGTGGTGTACTTAGCTCATGCATTGTACTGCGGTTTGTGAGGACAACTGGAGAGCCCACGAAATGCATTCACGTGCAAAGATGACTGCAGACACCGCAAACAAAAGGGAGGCATGCAGATTTACCCACAGGTCAACCTGTACTTGTTATGAGACAGAAATTAAAGGGGATGCAAGTGGAATTTCTGCAGCAAGCAACAGACAAGACTTCCTGTAACAATCATTTTAGAAGACAGGCAGCACCACATGCAGCTTAGCAAAGAGACAACAGAAGGGGAAAATCCAAGGACACATGAAGGTAGATTCTTCACTGTTCAGGAAATGATCTTGTACCCATGCTCTGCAGTTTTCCAGACATGAGATACTAATAGTTATTTTCACCATCCTTCCCACTTCCTCTAAACGTTAAAGGGATTAAATTCCCTCTTCTCAGTGGAGTTAACAGCTCCTCTATAATGAAGCAATACAAAGGCACACACTGCTAACCCGGTAGCTTAAAAGCACAGTTCTGTTCCTGGTTTAACAGGACACCCTCCAGTTAATCTCTGAAGAGAAACACAAAAGGCCTCTCCTGCACACCCCCCATATAACCCTCCCTCTTCCCACATTTCCCAGTTTTGACCTCCATAGAAAACAGCCTGGGCTCTGGACCACGCTCCTGGCAGAAACACAAATCCCTAATGCTGAACTCATCAGCAATAAACACTAGACACTCTGGATGTACCAGAGCCAAGGGGGGCGGTGGAGGAGGAAATTTCCAAGAGGGACTGAAATACCCACTCCAAACACAGCCACGGATAGTGCCTCCCCCCCTGCCAGCCCCACTCCTCCTCTTCCAGAGAGAAGAGCCCTTTGCCCAGCCTGCCCTGGGTTTGCCCTGTCCCCAGCTGTCAAATCTCAGTTACATTTCTCATCTTGGTTAAGCTTCCAGAGAGTATTTTTTGGGATGCGGGGATAACACTAAGGTTGCTTTTGTTAAGCCTGACTAACTCATGATGCTAGTCTAACAGATAACCCAGCTTCTAAATACAAGCACTTACACCACGAAGAATTTTGGACTTTGCTGAGACTTGATTATTAAAATAAAAATCATACCAACACAATGCTGAGACTTGATTATTAAAATAAAAATCGTATCATACCAACACAGAACTCCTAATGACATAGAGTTGCAGCTTGTCATCCTCATATTCTCAGTTCAAAGAAAGTCAGATTAACTAATTCGCAATTTGATGTCACTTCTGGGGCTCACCACAAACCAACTGAGAGTCAGTATATAGCCACGAAGAAGGCACCTCTGGCTACCATTACAAACAATGCCCACGAATGCAGTGTAACTCCAAGAACATCTATTTATTAAGGACAAGATAGAGCAAAGACTGATGCTTAACTCTCTGCCGTGATGGCTATTTAGGCACAAGTCACTCTAGCAGCGGCCATTTAAACACAGCAGAGTGATTTCACAGAAGAGAGGGGAGTTGTCTTGCGTTCTCTACCCTCACTTTGGTTTCTGTCTCAGCAGACCCTTTCTCTTAGATTCTCCAGTGACTTGCTATGGGAACATGTTGCAATAGCAATTGCACAGGAAGGCTATGCACTGAGAGACCAATACAAGACAATCTATTTGCATGGGATAACTGCCTGGCAGAATTTACAACGTGGACTCTTTCTCTTGCTGAAAAGTTGATTTTTATTTTTTTATTAATCCTGCTTTGCTATTAACTCCCTCTGCCCCCTAAACACCACCACTGTTCCAGAAATGTACCCTAGCAACAGACAAGCAGCAACATTTAACATTTCCCCCCTCAATGAAAAGCCTTCCATGAGGGCTTCTATTCCTCCACAGACTAGAGTGATTCTGTTCAAAGAACTACTACAGGATAAACAAAGGGCCATGAAAAGCAGTCAGACACTTCAAAACACTTTTTTTAAAACAAGCAGAGAGAGAAGGGTAGAACCAGGTAGAAGAGCAGGTGAAAAACCCAAACCATTACGCAATGCGAGCCTTTATGTGATCTGGACCCATAGGATCTCTAGACATAGCAGACACCCTCTTTCGTATCCAATTCATCTCATCAGGCACAGCCAATGCCTAACACTGTGCACATACTTCCAATGCTTTGTGAAAATCTCAAGGGCAGACCGTGTTTGAAGATGCACCCCCATCTCCCAGACATGCCCCAGCGGTTTTCAGAGAAAGATTAGAAGAGGGAGCATTCATTAAAACTAAAGCCTGAAATACACGACCCAGTGGTGTCCTCTTGGCATGAGCCACAGAGCTCCCAGTTCTTCCACTAGTGAATAACGGAGAAACTGTGTGGGAGCCAGGTGATTTCCTTCTGCTTTTTTCGCCTCTGCCAGCCTCAGAAAACCGAAACATTCTCCAGCAAGACTATGTACAAAAAGCCCAAAACCAGGAACCAGCCTGATAGTTTGTGACGTTTCAATTAATGTTTTCAAACACCTTCCTGCCAATGCAGAAATTTCACATCCTGAAAGACACTCTCTTTGCAGGTATGCATGTGTACACACACAAACAGGAGCACGGCCTTAAAGAGTCAAAACACTCTGGACACAGCTCCTAGACTTTCGAGCCTGAATGCCCCAGTCTGTCTCAAATTCAAGAGTTGATAAAAATATGAGCGCACCTCTCCTGCAGTATTACAAAAACTCCATATCCTGACAAACCAAGAAATGAAGGGGTAAAGGGCAAACACCACAAGAAAAGGCATTCACAGAGTTCTCCTGAACTTTAGGGAGAGGAAGATAAAAGTACAGGCAATTATTATAATAATTTAAATCCACTTTTGATGATAAATTAGACTCTCAGGCCATAGTGATAAACATTTAAATGCAGCAATGAAATCCATGTGATTCTGGGAAGCTGCAAAACGGAAGTTTACTTACTGAAGTAGACTACTTCAGCAGGTCCACACTATAGTAGTTGAGCACCATTCTCTGAAACCCCTGACTGTTTCTTAAGCAACTTAGTAGATACAGGGAAATCACTTAACAACTTAATTTTTCATTAAATGTGACCTCATCTTCTGCTTGGGAAACGTGGTTCTCAGTGATCTCATACTCATTTATTCAAAGCTCTCTGGAAACATCTTGATAAATTTCTCCCCTCCGTATTTTCATCCTTTGAATTCGCACCAGGAGGTTAGTGTTCACATGAGTCAGGCTAATACATAACACAACACAGCAGAAACTTCAAATACATTACTCACACAATTTTAACTTTACTTTGGTTAAAGGAAAGAACCCAAATCCCAATCTGAGTATAAATATATATATGTATACACACACAAACCAGCAAAAATTCAATTTCACAAGCACTTCTGGAAGGCAGGTATAACAGGACAGTGAAATATTTCAGTACCACTTCAGTATTTGTTTTATTTCCTTCTTCTTGCTCTTTAGTCAGCTCAAAAACATCTCTGTACAGGTTACACCAAACATGCACAGGCATATTCATCCCTTCTTTACTTAGTTAGAAAGCACTCTGCTCCCTGGATCTGCCTCCAGCCTCTCTCAACCTCACCTATCTAGTTAAAACCCCCAAACTTCACATTGGAGAGTTAATAAGGATCTGTAAAGACACATAATGAATTCCAGCTATTGTCACAAGTTGCCATAATAGCTCCCTCATAAAACTGACTTGAGCAAGCAGTGATAACTCCCAAGAAAAAAGCTCAGCATCAGTTAAAGATAGAGGTTTCAGGCATAAGGCTTAATTACCTGCAATGCCTGCCTTAGGATCTGTTTTGAACACAGGGTAGCACACAGGACTTGTGCTGAACCACTTGAGGGAAGTGAATTTCATAGAGTGTGAAAGCTTGTCGAACAACTCCTCCCCAAATTAACAGTTGCAATCCAGTTAGGAAAACAGTGCTAAGAATTTCATGTAGTCCACTTGTAAGTCTTGCATAAAAATTAACTTATGAGGAAAAGCCACTTCTCAGCACTTTGTGAAGATGGCTGTTTCTAAGATGAAAACGAATCTTGTCCATCCTTTCACTCAGTTTATAGCAGGCCTACTTACAGAGTTTTATCTACATAAATGAGTCCAGGCACACTTAAATACTGCAGCTATTAGGAATCTCTGAAAACCTTGCCAACTTTCTCCTAGTAATAGATTTACACTTCCTTCTCAGAAGGTGATTTAGGAGTTTCTAGCAAATGATCTAACCAATTGATTTACCTGACTGTACTTCTGTAAATGAATGCAGATGAGATCAGTGTTTGCTTGGATCACCTGAACATCAAAAGCCACCAGCGAGCACCCAGATCATCCTGTGTATACCCTGGTGTGACTCTAAAGATCCCACAGCAAAGTTTAGTTTGCAATGTTCTCTCTCACAGGTGGCTGAATACCTACCAGAGTGTGGACAGAAGCTGGAAACCCCTTATTATAACCAGGTCTCAATTTCCTGACTTACACTGAAAGGAGTGCAACTCTATCTGCTTTTAACAAATAGCCTACAGCTGACCTAAGATACAATATTTTTAAAAAGAACCACAGACAGCCAATATTAAATTGCTGAATATACCATAACTGGGGAAAGGAGCCAGAACACATCCCTTTATCTTTAGGAACTGACCTGGGGCAAAAGGCACCTAGCAAGCAACAGATTACTCACAGAAGAACAGAAACTTTTTTTTTTTCCTTTGTAAAAAGTAAGATTTTTCGATGGGAAAAAAAGAGAAAGAGTACTGCTACAGACTCTTTAAGCATACAATTTGTCACAAGCTAAAACCACATTGTCAAATGAAGGAACTCCACATAACAAACTGCGTGACAGGAGATAGTAATGACAACAGGATTAGAGAAGTCTTCTCATATTTCCTGCAGATAGTACTATCACACCTAATTAATTGATACCAGGGTCACATGAGTCTTCATTTTCCTCTTGGTTCAAAACATCTGTGAAGAAGCTTTTAGAAGATCTCATCCCCAGACAGGGATTCTGGGACGTCTGCTGGGAACGGGGCTTTTAGAGGCTCACAAAACAGTGTCAACCAATTAGAGAAAATAAAACCCCTTAAGGGTCTTTAGGGAAA